TAGTGCAAAAACATTTCCCCAAAAAATGACCGCATGAAGAATCTTATAAGACAAACAGAGATCTAACTGGCTGTTAGGTGACTAAAAACTAGAAAAAGGTGACCTTTTCAGTAAACCGTAGTACATTTCACTCTCCCGGATTTCCCGAAGAAGCACTAGTTCGAGAAGGCAATCAAAACTGACTTTCAACAGCGGTGCTACGCAACTATCATATTTTTAATCTATTTGTGAAAAATAGACTACCTGAGGTATGTAACCGTGTGCCGCCAGTGCTTCACATCGAGCGAATCGAACTTCAATCGGCTCCATTGGTAGGTATGCCGCAGCTAGCACTGCATCCACCTCTTCATGAGCAGCCGATAGAGCACCTGCTTGAACATCACCTAGCAGACCTGCGGACGACGGAAGCTAGAAAATGAAGGACTTTTTCTGAATAATCCTTGAAACATTCTCAAAACTCATGACATAGAAATACAATCGCTAGTAATGTAGAAATACACACATCAGAAAAGAAAATCAAAGACTGTTTACCTGTACGTCACTTTCTTGCCCAGATTCTGAGCTGTCTTCTTCGCGTAAACTGTCCTGGCGCCTGACACGACCATGTCGATCACAATCTCCCTGAAGCTTCAAATATTTACCAAAGCACTGAGTAAGATTTACCCAAGATTAAGTAAGGAAACGAAGCTCCTATCTTTTTCATCACTAGCAAGCCAATGTATCATGACTAAATAGCTTTACACTTACACCTACAGCAGCCCGAATGGCATAACGAACGGCTCGATCAAGCGATGCTTCATCGTTAAATATTGGCAGAGGCGGAAAATCAAGGGACGCCATCGCAGCCGTGGCGCGAGATCGGTTCTGAATGGAATACAAGTGAGGGTAGCAAAATGAGGAACTAGGAGATCCGCCTGAGTTCACGAATCATCTAATCACCTTTTTCTTCTTCTTTCTGCCTTTCTCATTCCTTTTCTGAGAAGAACCGCACGGCGCGAGCGGTTGTACTGGCACGTTCGAATCATTTCCACATGCCTGAATAAGAAAACTTTCTGCAGATGAACGACGGATAAAGCAAAATTAGGACTCCGACGTACCTCAGGCAAATGGAGCACGGCCACCTGACTCACACCTGGGACCGTTTCGTCTATCAATGCGTGGCATACCTGCAAAACGAGCATTACTCTGGAAATTCACAACGACAACTATCACAAACCTGTAAAGATGGATGGAAACCGGGAAACTGCGTGCAAGCCCGAAATGAGCGTTATTTGAGGACAACGGACAATTGTTAGCATCTTGGATGGAATTTCAACAATATAGCCGCCTAAAAGTGGGAGTTAAACTGAGAAAAATTCAAAATGGATTGGTTTAGTTATACTGACAAAAGAAGAAATATGGTTCAAGTTAACGCTACCTGGTGACTACTACTGACCACAGCTGCATCTTGGCCTCCAGTTCCACGAATTACCTTCCATATCCGATCGACCGCTGTTCGGTGGTACGTACGCAATAGTGCTGCCAACTTAACAAAAAACCGCGTTGAAGAATCGAGCAAATCTTTTCGAGCGTATTCACAAAGAAAAATTCAAATGTGAACCCCAAAGAAAGGCATTCATGCACCAGACTCAAATCAAGTATGGCAGTGTGAAAAAGTGCTGAACATCAAAAAAGATACCTGTCTTCGATTCTGTGGAGAAAGCATCGGATTTAGCACAGCACATCGCCAGAGCACAACAATCTCATCGCAGAGCTGAGCACTATTTAACTGTGCGCTAATCTGATTGCTTGCAGAGTTTTTGCCTGCAATAGATTTAGTATAGATAGGGATTGCTAATATTTCTAGCAAAGGAACTACCAGCAGTTCTTGATCTTACTGTTGAGAAATTTGCCGAAAAACCAAAAGGTAATAAGATTTTCTCTAAATAAAGCTAATGCAATAACAAACCTGTGGTTTGTTGAGACCAAGTTCCACTCTGCACGAGTTTCGTCGCATACCACCACAGCAAAATCTAAAAATAGCAAACTCATGTTTCGCATTAACGCCCACAGTAACTTCAGTTACTTACATCAGTGGCGAGACCGTCCAACATGCAGAACGAATTCACATGAAACCTTGTAATCTACTACTATATGTCTATACTTTACGGTGACCCACCTGACAATTAGCAAGACATTCCACAGTCAATATGCTCAGCAACGACACAGCATTCTCGTCTCTGCGTGCGAACATCTCGCGTACGATAGCCATGAGATTCCAAATGCCTTAAGAGAAAAGGTGAGTTCTGCTGTACAAAAAACTGCCTTTGAATCTCACCTTCAGGTTCCCTAGCACGCAAAGACTTCATCACCGTTAACCATTCTGCCGCAATCGGGTGCTGTGCCGTACCAAGATACTGCACATCACTGCAAAATAAATGACGTAGGAAAAACGTAAGAAAAGCAAGGGATGAATAGACAATTTTCAAAGCAATCCATAAAACGCGAATGAAAACAAACCAGTGTACAGTTGGAGCAGGGACGCAGTACTTGATCAACAAGCGGCGAATACTTGTGTGTAAGCCTTCAACATCGAGTGCCCAAATAGCAGTCTGAGTGTGGTAACTACTGATAATAATGGAATGGAAGGTGTACAATAGTGTAAAGGTAGCGATAAATTCTCAACGATATATATGAGAAGCTCAATGAAGGAAGAATCGCAATTCAACATATTTGCCATGACATACCTGTTCGTGACCGCCATCCGTGGGATCCGGAGCTCCGTGAGACTGATTAATCTCCGATTCCGGGCATTTTAACTGATCCAGCAATCTTTGAGCAATTGGAAGATACTAAATCATTTCACATACGTAGTTTTGAGATTACAACACATCAAAAACACTTCAAAAGCGTTAAGCTGTATAAACCATAGTCACCTCTTTCGGCAGCTCATTGACCAAATACTGTGCAAACTTTTTGAGCTTATCCACAGATAGTTCGTTGACTGAGTCCCAAATCGTAACTCTGAACGGATTCTTGCTTACGGTGCATTATTTGAAATTATGTTTGCCAAATTAAAAGAGAAGTATGAAAAGCATTGTGTGCGACAGGCAGGAGTCTAAATGAGTTTTTGACATCCTCCTCATCCCCTTCTCAATCCACGAGTGTGCGATAAACGAAAGCTGATTCTTGATCTTTTTCTCGGACCCTGTACCCTTCCGAAACGCCCGATATTACCTTTAAAAAATGTTCAGCAATGTGATCACTCATTCAATCAGAGTAATGGGTCTAGTATGAATAAACGGATCAATTCTTATACTAGGAACCTTAGCGAATGCAGCGAGATATAAGCGGTGAAACAAAGTGCCAACATCTAGCATCTTTTCTTATCGCACAATAACCAGCAAGCACAT